TGGCTGCTGCATTGGCTGCTGCACTGACCGCTGCACTAATCCCTGCTCTGATCCCTGCACCGACCACTGCACTGACTGCTGCATTGGCTGCTGCACTGACCAGTGCCCTGACCCCTGCACTGACTGCTGCTCTCACCCCTGCACTGACCGCTGCACTGCCCCCTGGACTGACCGCTGCATTGGTTGCTGCACCGACCACTGCACTGACCCCTGCACTGACCACTGCACTGACCCCTGCACCGACCAGTGCACTGACCCCTGCTCTGACTCCAGCACTGACCCCTGCAGTGATCCCTGCACTGACCCCTGGGCACACAGTGACCCCTGCACTGACTGCTCTTGCTGCAGTGACCACTGCAGTGACCTCCCGTGCTGCTCAGTGACCCTGCTGGCCATGCAGAGTGGCACCCACGCAGTGACCGCCCCTGCTACCCCACTGCACAGGGACTGCTCCTGCTGCCCCACTGCCCTGCAGCACAGTGACAGCTCCAGCCCTGCAGTGACCGCTCCCACAGCACAGTGACCACTCCTGCTTCACAGGCCTCTGTTGCTCACATTCGTTTATTATTTTAAAACACTGACAAAACACATCACACCATCATCTATATATATAAATTTACCTTTGTACCACTATAAATTTATATATATAGAGCCTTTAAATCTCTGTACATTCAGGACACACAGTTCCAGAATAGCTGCACTGGCTACAACAGAAGGATTTTCATTATGAAAACACAGAGAGGAGGCGCCAATATCAAAAACACAGAAAAAAAGAAATTAAGAAAGAGTGCAAAATGAATGAAAGTGCAAAAAAGCTTTTGTTATCATAATCACACTCCCTCCACAATATGGTCCCCATTCCCCCGTCCAAGTACCAGTGAGCCACAGGCCCCAGAGGGAAGGGCTAGGCTGGAAGAAGGGAGCCAGGCTGCAGCCCTCCTGTCCTTCCCTCTCTGCACCGAGGAGCTCTCCTGGCGGATGAGGAGTGAGGAACCCGAGTGGCAAAGTCACACCCCTCTCCTGGCTCCCTCTTCCAACAACCTCACCACACCCAGGGCCCAGATGTGCCCCTGCAGGCAGCAGCTGCCCCAAGCCCCCTACCCTCCCAGACCATTGCAGGGCGCTTTTCTCTTCTGAAAGTGCTTGTGATCACCACGGAGAGCAGCAGAGAAGGGCGAGGGCAGGCACAGCCACCCTCCCTGCCGAGCTCCAGGCTGGCTGCTCTCATGGAAATGGAGACCTTGGCTCGCACTGTCCCAGAGCCGCCCATTTCCACTGGGAGCAGGAAAAGTTTCCCAAGAGGCTCCAACTGCTCCCCCGCAGCCAGAGTGAGCCCCCAGGAGACACCCACAGCTGGGGCTGGAGCACAGTGGGACCCCCCCATGGCTCCAGCTGAGCCCTGCCAACACCAGTGCAGGGGCAGCAATGGCAGAAACAGAGACTTGGGGACCTCCACTCAGAAAAACATTCCACTTGAAGAATTCTTCATTGACTCAGAAATGCTGGCTGCAGTCACAACCCTCAGAAAGGCCCCAGAGGACAACCTGTGGGTCAGGACAGCCCACTGTCCTCTCTGGATTCCTAGTGACACGGCAGTAAATGTCCCTGTGAGGAATTTGGTCAGGCAGCAGGGGAAGGACAGAAAACTTTGGTGCTTCTGCCTTGGTCACAGCTGTCCTTAATAGTCCCTGAGGGGGGACTCCCACTCCATGCTCTGTGGGGTTGGAGAACCTACCAAGGCCAGGGGTGCAGCAAACCTTCCTCCCTGCTGGGACCAGGGACAACTGCTCACAGAGGACACATCACATGAGACCCTGGGGTGGGTGTCTGCTGCCTCCACAGCCCCAGAGACCCCCACCCTAAAACAGCAACACACCAACAGCAGGGGAATGGTGTCATGGTACTCCCACAATCACCCATCCACATGTACACAATGCTTTGGGTTTGGTTTAAAGGACACAGAAGGTTATAAGTTTTAACAGTAAATAGCCCTTGACCACCTACAAAGCCTGTAACTCCCTCACCCAGACAAACCCAGCAGCTCTGTACCCCAAGAGGCACATCAGCCTGAGAGGCTGAGGATGCTCAATGCAGCAGGAGTGTGACACAGCTCCCCCCACCCTTCAGTGGGACTGGTGCTCCTGACAGCTGCTCCCAGCACAGAGCTCACCCCTGGGCTCCAGCCCTGCAGCCAGAGGAGGGGCAGCACCCTGGCAGACCGGCCCAGGTCACGTCTGCTTCTAAGAGGGAGGTGAGGAGAGCCCAGGGCAGGCAGTGCTGTGCTGGCACAGCGTGGGGATGCACCTCTGCCAGGCAGAGCAGGGCTTGGCTGCAGCCAGCAGCAGAGCAAGAGCCAGTGGTGCTGGTTGTAGCCAGCCCTGGGGGCAGCCAGGGCTTGGCTCATGGCTCCTCTGCCCCTCAGCAGGATCTTCTGAGCTCCTCACCACCTCTGCTCTCCCAGGCTGCCCTGTGAGACACAGGCTCTCCCTCCTTCACAGCAGTTTCAGATCTGGTGCCTGGGTAGCAGCTCCTGTCCCTGGGATGGTGCTCAGTCCCTTCCCCAGCAGGAGGAATGACTTCACACTTGGGAATACAGCAGATGAGAATAGGATGCTTTCCTGAAATGGGTCCTTGCAAGCTCAAGGGCTGTGTCCAGTGTGAGGGAGCTTTTTCATTCCAGATCCCACCTGGAAAAGTCTCAGCACCATTCACAGCCTGGGCTGAAGGTCCCAGGCCTCCTCCTCTTCTGCCCCCGCACACAGTTGCCCAGAAAGAGACTCTCCATCAGCTGAAGAGACCAACCTCCACTTCCCACAGAGGAAGGGTGGCTGGGGGAGTGACTCTGGGACCTAGGGACACAGCTACTCCTTCCCACTCCCTCTCTCCACAGCTGGCCACACTGCAGCGCTTGAAAAGATGCAAGGACATAAAAAAGGAAAGGAGAAGGAAAGCTGCCTAAATCAAACCCAAGCAATGACAAAACAAAGGCATGGACAAGTTGCAAGTCCTGCGGGAAGAGCAAGCAGCAGACATTTCAAGAGCAGGTCAAACATGACCCCAAATACTCAGTAACAGAGACAAAATGCTACATTTCCATGGGAAGCCTCAAACAGGTTGACCCAGATGTGACAGCAGCTCCCAAGGCAGCACAGCTCCAGGACACATTGCTGGTGCACTTGCTCACACCTCTGCATCCCTGTCATTGGGCACTGGCAAAGGGGGGGGTTGTTTGATTACTGGAATGCCATTGTTGGGAAAGGAGAATGAAGCAGACTTGGGCTGGGCCCTGGGCAGGTGCCATCTGAGCCATCCTCCAGCACTGCATGGCCAGCCCCTGCTCCAACAGCTCCCACAGGTGTGCCAGGTGATGGACCATGGAGAGCAGTGTGGGGCCTGCCAGGAGGCACAGGGGCTTCTCAGAAGCTGCTGGGACTCTGCCAGCACCCCCAGCAATGTTGGCTTTTCTGGCTCTGCAGCCCTTTGGTCCCTCCTCCATCACAAGACACAGTGCTACATGAGCATTCCCAAACTGCCTGTGGCCCTAATGGAAAGGTGCTATGTAAAAGGACAGAAACAAACCAGCTAAGTGCTGGATTTCTTTCAGCTCTGCAGGTAAGGGATCCAGGGACAGCAGAAGATCCTGCTCTTCAGGCAGCAAAACCTGGGTGCCTTGTGAGGGTAAAGAGTGGGGAGAAGGCAGCTTGGCAGAATTGACTCAGCCAACTCAGGAATGCCTTCAGAAGCGACTGTGGATCTGCCTATTGGAGCAATGGATGCTTTTTGTCCTTGGCACCTGTCCCCAACCTAGAGAGGGCCCTGCTCCTAATACCACGACCAAAGAGGGCCCAACTTCCTTTGTAGAGGACTCTTTAATAGGTGTGAGTGGAACAAGTTATCCAAGCATCCTTTCTCCCAGAGAAGAGCTGGACAAAACAGTCTGAGGTGCAAGAAGTGGAGCCTTTTCTGCATCCAGCCAGCCCTGACCTGGAAGGGCCCTGAGGCTGCTGAATTCCAGGAAAGAGGAAGAAAGCACAGGCGCTGGTCATGGGCAGAGCAGCTGCCAAGACAGCTGCTCCCCGAAGGGACAAGAGGTGGCCACTGGTTTGCAGTGCAGTGTAGGGGCAAAGCAGTCATCAACTGGCCTGAAAAAGGGGAAGTCAAAAGAATTCAGAGAAAAAGGCAAAATGAGCAGAAGCTCCTCAAGAATGTTCCTTGGAAACGGTGTTAGCACAAGTAGCCCCAGAGGATCACACAGAGGGAAAAACCCCAAATCTCTCTCAGCTGCTGAGCAAAGGCAAGAGCAGCCTTGGAGTGGGTGTGAGCATGGCTGCAGGCAGGCAGTCCCTTCCCTGCCTGGGGGACTCCAGTGGGGGCCAGTCCCCGCTGTGACACCTCCACAGGGCTCCTCCGGCCCTCAGCACCCCTGACCCACGGCAGGACACAGTGGGGCAGCTGCGGCACCAAGCTGGGCCAGTGCCACCTGCACCCTCCCTGCCCCCAAGGGTGGGCCCAGCGCTGCAGAAGGGCAGCAGGCAGGGAA